ACTCAAAATTTAATTGTACACCACTTTATCTTGTCCTGTCTTCGCTTGAACATATTACATAACTATAACACTTTCGATTTCTTGTTTCTGCTGTTTGGAAATTACTTTCAATCGAATTTTCTTCAAGGAGAACCCTACCTCTGTTGAAATTTTTTTATATTGGTGCTCTATTTTATTGTATACATATGTAAATACTGTAGGAAGTCTGTACATATGAAAAAGCTCTGACAAGTGATAGTGTGTAAAGCTAAATGTATTATAGATCTTGCCTCTTACCTGTAACAAAAAATGAAGTTCATTTTTATTTTGTTTTTCTTCTCGCTAGTCTATCCTGTCCTCTTTGGTAAAATTTGGTTGTGTTACGTGTTTTTAGTAGAATAGGACAAGTTTCTATTCATTTTTTTTTTTCAAACTCATTGTATAAGTTAAAGCACTTTTATTATAATTTATTTCTGCTGTTCTGCATTACCCTTTTTTTCTATCCTTGGCTAGAGCACACACTGTATTGTTGGGTGAAATTCATGTGGGACACATTAAATTATGTGGGGTCCCACTTCCTATTGAGTGGGACCTACATGAAATTCATTCAATAATAGTTTTGAAAGAAGTGTGTTGCTAGTATGCCACCAAAACTAACAGAGAATGCATTTTGTATGCCATGTGATCTTTTTGAGATTTTCCTCAAAGTGAGAGTTAATTAGGATAAGTACTATTTCAGTTAATTGGACATATTTAATGTTTTTAATGGGTATGGTCACTTTCATAAAAGCAGTACATGTAATGGACCATTTATTTCCCAACTCATTGTGTGATAGTCTTGACTTGAACTGAATTTCATTATTTGACACTTCAAAGTTCTTCATTGTAGCTTGCAGAGGCAGCAAAATCTCAATTCTGTGGTGCATACAGTGACCACCTTGCACTTGTAAGAGCATACGAAGGTTGGAAAGATGCTGAAATGGACCTTGGTGGGTATGAATACTGCTGGAAAAATTTTCTCTCCTTACAATCTATGAAAGCTATTGATGCTCTTCGGAGGGAGTTCATTTGCCTGCTCAAGGATACAGGATTAGTTGATAGCAATACAGCCAGCTGCAATGGATGGAGCTCTGATGTAAATCTTATCCGAGCAGTTATTTGCTATGGTCTATATCCTGGAATTTGTTCTGTTGTGGTATGTCCTTTTATACAACAAGCATAGTATATTAATACAGAAGCCTTTCCCCTGTAATCAATAGAGGGTGGAATTGGTCTGGACCTAGAGGGGCAGTTCCCCCTCCACACTTTTTGTTTTAACATTACATCTCATTTTAACATGTTTACAACTTAACATCTTTCCCTTATGTGCCGTTCCCCAGTAATCTAATCTTTTGTATCCTAATTTTCTTTTTCCACCTTTTTATCATATAAAAAGAATGATGCTATGGTTCCCCCACACAAAAAAAAATAAATAATGAAGTCAATAATACATAACTGTACTCACAAAAATAAATCGCAACTAAGCTTTAGAGGTCATGATAAGGACAACTAGTTATCTAATGGCTTGGCCAGCCTTTGATTTTACAGTTGACTCTAGCATTACTCTAGAATATTTTGTTTGTACAAAATATTGTCTTTTACTTGTAAATTTTCTTTCTTAATTATATATGAAGAGAAATAATTAAGTATAATTTAAATTAAAATTAGTTTGTCTTCTGTTTAGTGTCAGTTATGATACAAAATATCATTTTTTTTTTTATATTTGAGTTAGTACATAATTTAAAATATATCATTGTTTAAATTTTAAACAACTTTTGGTCATCAAATTCTTATTTTGGTAGATGCTGTCCTGAATTTAGTCTTGGTTACTGTCCTCAGAAATAGTTCATTGCTTGGAGTTGTACATTGTGTTATTGTATATCATGTTTTGAGAATATGAATTACGATGTAATTTCATTTGCAGCATAATGAGAAATCCTTCTCTTTGAAAACAATGGAGGATGGTCAAGTGCTCCTATACTCGGTTAGTCTATTCAAACCTTTATAATATGTTGCATGCTGTGAAACATTTAAAATAATTACACTCAGGTTTTTATTTTGTCTTTTGATTTATTTTTCCTGCTTTCCTTTTTAATTGAATACTTATTTCATTTGCCTAGAACTCAGTGAATGCCCGGGAAACTAAAATTCCTTATCCATGGCTAGTTTTCAATGAGAAGATAAAAGTGAACTCAGTTTTTCTCCGTGACTCAACAGCTGTATCTGATTCAATGGTGCTTCTGTTTGGTGGAAGCTTATTGAAAGGAGATGCTGTAAGTGTGATGTGATATTTTATTGCTTCTCATGAGTATTATATATTCTATATAATGTTTGCAATTTTTAGTTGCTGTCTATGTTATAGTTGTCTGATGTTTTACTGCAATTCAACCCTTTTCTATATCAGGATAATCACTTAAAAATGTTAGGAGGATATCTTGAGTTTTTCATGGAGCCCACTGTTGCTGAAATGTACCAGAGTATAAGGAGAGAGCTTGATAACTTCATTCAGAGCAAAGTAGGTGCAAATTAATTTCATACTCCTACCAGCTTACCCTTGACATTGAAGATTGTTGAACATAGTTTCTTGATGCAACTGAAGTAGCATTCTGTTTAGATGCTTTTTCTCTTGGCCAATCTGCAGTGATGATATGATACTTGACGTTTATTTTAAACTTTATATTTGGCAGCTACTTTTTCCAAGAATGGGCATACACTGGTATCATGATCTCCTGTCTGCAGTACGGCTGCTGATTTCGAATGACAAATCTGAAGGTAGATTTGTATTTGGTCGCCGGGTCATTAAACCATCAAAGAAATCTATTATGCTGGCCTCACATCCACCCTTGGTTTCAAGGAATGAGAGTGGACCTGGGGGTGATAATTCTAAAAGTCAGCTCCAAACCTTGCTTACGAGAGCAGGCTATGCAGCACCCATGTACAAAACTAAACAATTGAAGAACAATCAGTTTCAGGCTACAGTCGAATTCAATGGAATGCAGATAATGGGTCAACCATGTAACAATAAAAAGAGTGCAGAAAAAGATGCTGCAGGTGAGGCGCTGCAATGGCTGATGGGTGGAAAGCAATCAGGCAGGGAGTATATCAATCACGTGTCAATGTTACTTAAGAAAAGTAAGAAAGATCACAATTAAGTGATCAAACTAATGAGCTCGATGCAAAGGTAAAGGAGCCCAAGGTGAAGGATGTATGTGGTTCTTGCTCTCCTCTTCTAGAGGGACATGTGATTTGACGAGGCACTGTTGCTGGATCACTGGGTCAATTTGTTTATGAAAACAGCCAAGACCATGTCCAACATCAAACAGATTGAATTTGAAGTTGAAAGATACTTATTCTTGATTGAAGCAAAATAACGGATCATCTGTGAACATGAAGCAAGCAGTGTCTGTTAAACAAAGCTTGAGGATATTAACTTTTCGAATTTGATGCTTTTACATCATCGGCGAGAAAATAGATGGTTAGTGGCAGGGCCATACTTTAGGAGGGATTAGTACATAGCATTCATTCATCCTTTCCCATTAATTCTTTGTATAGTAATTATCAATTTTGTCAACATAAGATCCTAAATATGCTGAACCATCCGGGCTTTTGTTCTGTTTCTGGGAACAAAACGAGATGGAAAATTGAAGTAACAGGTTTTAGACAAAATTGCAGGTGAAAAAAAAAAATAAAATGAAACGTTTGTTCAGCATCAATAAATTGAGTGGTGACAAATATAAGTTGGAAATGATCACATTCTTGGTTGTCTCAAGACGACGGCAAGACCTACAAGGAGTGAAACCAAAGTGGTCCTGTTGCCATCTCAACAGTGTTTTGATCGAATGAAAATAGATGAAAGGAAAGTAGAAAGATATTTATAATTTTTCTTTACGAGTTTAGAAGTTTAAAAGGAAAGAAAAAAAAAATATGGTGGCTGAAATTCCTTTTCTTTCATGTGTCTTCTATCGAGAAGATTTGGATGAGACAATACTTTATAATATTTAGAATGATTTGTCTAAATTATTTTGATTTCGAATTGCTTTTTTGTGTTGATAGTTATACTGTATAATACATTTTTCCTCCACCTATTACAAACTGGAGACCATTCTCTTCTTTAATTAAACACTTTTTTCTTCCCTTTTATTTAGTATTTCTCGACTTCTAAATCAAAGAGATTCATTAGCTTTTCTATTAATTCATTAGCAAACTACAAGTTTTGGATTCTCACGTATATTACCTTAAGCTGACTGAGAAAAAGCATGTCAGATTCCACGGCATTTCTACTTTTTGTTACTTCGAAGACTACCTTTACGTGGCTCACAGTTTACGTGGCTCACAGTGGTAGGAAGTATAGCGTTTAAACTGTTTATTTTTTTGTTGGCCAACTACTTATTTTTATTGGAACAGCTTATATTCAAAGTTTCGTTAGATTGAAAAAGCTTTTTATATCCTAAAATTAATCGAAAATAAACATGCGTATTTTATTCTCACCCGCTGATTTAAAAGTAGAAAACTTCACAAAACTAGCACCAACACAAGGGATTATCAAAATATCATGGCAATTGCAGAAACAATACTTATTTAAGGCGACAGTATGTTTGTATAAACTTCTAAAAAAAACTTCTAGATAAATAAAATAAAAGTAACTTTTTTCTGGAACTAAAATTAGTTATTAGAAGATAATTTGTTGAACATCTTATTAACTTCTTCAAAAATATATTTAATATGTTTTTAGCTAGCGTAATGTAAACTTATGGAGAATTTTTCTTTTTCAAAAAGTACTTCTAGGCAAATTTATTCAAACATGACTTAATGCCTTAATTGTATATCGCTCACCAAAAATACAACTTTAAAAGAAACAATCGTGGAATATTATTTATCACTTTTCAATACTAAATAAATTTGGCACTCGCATAATAGATGCTGATTCAATGTGCCAATATCAAGTCTCCAACCATAAACTGGACAGCTAAGAGCAAAATCTGTGAACAGCACAAATAAACAATAAATAGTAATCTTTGATTTTCTAATGTTCTTTTCCCATTTGGTTCTTTACTAATCCCCAATCTTGATTTTACCAAGAAAACCTTTGTTTCTAGCTCAACTTATTCAAACTCATTTGCTAGAAGTTGAAAAGAAAAATACAACACATCTAATTCTCCTTAGAATTCACTGCTAAGAAGAAACGATAAATAGTTAAAACAAAACATTAAGGGCCAAAAACCCTCAACTTTTAGTAGGTATAGCCTTTGACAAACATTCCCTTCTTAGCCTCTTCATTCTCGCCCTCGGCAGAGTACCTTCCAAGTTGAGCCAAGGAGTTTGCTTTCGCACGCACCAAAAGAGCCTTTTGAGCAGCTTCCACATTCTCAGGGTGTCCTTGCCAAGTCTTAAGCACAGTGTTCTGAAGAGCTCGTGCATATGAGAAAGAAACATGCCATGGATTGGGACTTTGGTTCATTGCATTAAGATTTAGTGTTGCTTCCACTTCAGATTGTCCACCAGACAAAAACTGAGAATACAAACAGAACATCGTTTACAGTTTAATTTAGTGGTTCTAAATTTCAACTTCTTAATCAAGTGTAATCTTAAATGAAAAATAATTGAAATCAGCATCACCATGATGTGCTTGCCATGCATGGAAATCTGATAGTCGCACATCAATTTATATGAAGAGTAAACAAAAAGGTGTGGTAACTGTACCATGATTCCAGGGACTGCAGGAGGAACTCTTCTTCTAAGCATGGTTAGAGTATGTTTGGCAATGGTTTCTGGAGAAGCCTTTTCCTTGTGTTCAGCTCCAGGTGTAACCATGCTAGGTTTGAGCAAAATTCCCTCAAAAATGACATTGTTTTCAGCCAAATAGAAGAAGACTTCTGACCAGACCTTCTCAGCCACTTCCAGTGTCCTCTCAATTGGGTGGTCTCCATCAAGAAGAATTTCAGGCTCCACGATTGGCACAAGACCGTTGTCCTGCAATGCAACACAAATGGAGCCGGGGATGAGTAAATCACAAGGAAAATACCTTGCCCGAGATAAACAGTAAATAAGCGTTTAATGCACACTGACATCAAGTAATCAAACCATAAAACATAAACCAACATAGCAAAAATTACATGGTTACCATTCAATCAAATTTGACCCCCTATCACAAGTTAACATGTGCTTAAAATATCTGCTACCTTTGTCACTGACCAAACTAAACCCACAACCAAAGTTCACTCCCTTCAAATGAAAGAGCCACCCACTTCATATGGGTAGAGTATCGTGAATGACACCACAGGATAAACAACAAAATTACATATATTACTCTTAAGAATATGCTAGTTTCAGCAAACAACGATTCAATGGCACAAGAATACCTGAGAGATAGCAGCATAACGTGCAAGTCCCCAAGCTGCTTCCTTAACAGCTAATGCAGAAGGACCACAAGGAATGCTAACAACTGTCCGCCTATTGATTACATTAGAACATTGCATTCAATTTCCATGCATCCGTTCAGAAAGAAAGTTTCCCAAAGAACACAGAAACAATGACTTACCACTTGGCAAATCGAGCACCTTGCTTGTAGTACTCAGCAGACCTAGAAGCCAATCCATCTAACCCTTGGCACCAGGACTCGTTGTTTGACCCTGGCAGAGGGACCAGGCCCTAAAAACAACAAAACTAAAAGCATAACCACCAAGCCAGTTTCTAACTAGTGAGACAGGACACAAGGGACACTCAGACAACAAACCTTGTCAACTTTGATGCCAGGCACAATGTTCTCATTGCGGAGACAATCGACGAATTTCTTGCCATCAGTTGTTGACTGGTAAAGGGTTTCTTCAAAAAGAATGGCACCGGAAATGTACTCACCAAGGCCAGGTGTGGTGAGCAGAAGTTGCCTGTAGGCCTGGCGATTCACCTCAGTATTGTCCAATCCAATGGATGCTAAACGCTTCCCACATGTTGCATTTGATTCATCAATTGCCAGAATTCCACGACCAGGAGATGCAATAGATTTCTACACAACCAAGAAACAAATCAATCACCAACCGAGAGAGAAACCATTACCAATCAAGTTTTAAAAAACGTGATTTCCGTCATAACATGAAGGTTTTTGGAGTCACTGCAACCGGATCAGTCACATTTGTCCGCAATTTAAAACCTTGAAACCAATCACCAATCACCGATCAAAGGAAATATCTATTCATCCATATTCCATCCATGATCTATCTATAAAATATATGATATCTAAACTAGACCCTAATTGAAAACAAAAAGCATCTTCCAAGTGTAACTAAAAAGTCAAACACAGGAAACTTTACAGTAAATGAACAAACAAAAGCAAAGTTAAAAACTTTAGGTTGGAAATGAAAAGAATTGAAAAGGGCCGGGGGGGGGGGG